TTATATCAGAAGCTAGAGAGTTGTGTGTGAATGTGGGTGCTGATAGTAATTATGGTGCGAAAAATACGGTACTTATAAGTGTGAGAATGCAGATCAGCAGTTGTTTCTCATTTCTCAGACCGTTGTCTGGAAGATTGGAAGTGTTATATCAGAAGCTAGAGAGTTGTGTGTGAATGTGGGTGCTGATAGTATACGTGTGTGAGTAGTATGATGAATGTGGAGTGGACACAGAAAATGTATTCTGCACTAAAGAGGCATCTCAAAAGTTTTGTAGTCTCCAATTCGAGATGTAGAATTTTGCATGCATTGTTCTTTCTTTCAGTTGCAGCAAACTATGCTCTTGAACCAGTTTTGGGAACAGGTGTGTGTGTGAGCAGTATTTGAGAAAGAACTAAGGCTGTACATTTAACTATTGTTCAGAAATATATTCTTAAACTTATTAGAAGTATGGAGTGTTGATTTTACACTTCTGAGAAAGTTTCTTTTTCTTTTTTCCTGCTGAAACTTGTGCACCATGTCCAGCAGGTGTTGCTGTTCTACTTTAGAAGTCCGGGACTGGAGCTGTTAATCTGCTGTCTGTTCTAGTCTTCAAGAGTGGAAACATTGCATCCAACTTTATATGTTGTCTTTAGGATGTAGAATTGGTTTATCGTTCCCCCCATGTCGTATAAGTAGATAACAGAGGTGATCCTGTCCATATTTAGAAAGAAACGGGATGTTTTAAATGTTGAGACAAGAGACCTTTTTGGTACAATCTTGATGAACTGAAAGAGGAAGGTGTTACCTTGTGCTGAGGGCCATGGGAGAAATGGAGAGCCATAGCAAAATTGTATATTTAGATTCATGTAACTGACAAAAGTTTATTTGATATAAATCATTATTTAAATTGAAAAAAAAATCAGATTTTTTTTTGACAATTTATGTAAAAATATTTTTTAAATTTAAATCATGATTTAAAGTGATTTGAATTTCTTTAAAGAAATCATTGATCTTTAGCCACCCTGTAATTCACATACTTTATGCATCATTTATGCAGCATGGTAGATGGTGCAGCTTGTGAACATATTTCATAATCATTAGTCTTTTTTAGGGGAATTATCTTGGTTGTAGATGTGAATAAAGTGTCAAACAAAAGCAAAGAGGGTGTCAGTCTGTCAAAACTTGCCATTTTGCAGAGATTTGTCACTAATTTGAATGGTTAAATCCTGAGGTTTGCATAGGCAGGTACTGTAGTTGCCTGCCTTGTTGCTTTCCAATGCCTGACTTGGTTTCTGTGATGACAGAGAAGCGCAAGTCACAGCCAGAGAGAGCTGATGGCAGGACAGGGGTTGTCAAAGCAGGATTTAGAGCTGAACACAGTGAAAGCACATTTATAGGCCTGAGAGAGGGGAGGTCTATGAAGCCACCAGCTATTGTAAGGAAACAAAGGAGTGAATGAAGAAGAGTTCAAGGAAGGGATGGGTGTTGGGCTCATGTGTTGAGGGATGTGAATGTGTATGAAAGAAGCAGAATAATTTGGTGGTAGTTTGGCAAAGTAGAGTGGACATTTGTGTGAATGAAGATGCTTGCTCAGACCCTCTCTGATCTCCTGTGCTGTCATGCCATCTTTTGTAGGAAAATCTTGTTGTTGTTTAGTCGTTAAGTCGTGTCCAACTCTTCATGACCCCATGGAGCAGAGCATGTCAGGTCCTCCTGTCTTCCACTGCCTCCCGGAGTTGGGTCAAATTCATGTTGGTCGCTTCGATGACATTGTCCAACCATCTCATCCTCTTTCATCTCCTTCTCCTCTTGCCTTCACACTTTCCCAACATCAGGGTAAAAATAAAAGGAAAAACTTACCTGGGCTCAAAGTAACAAGGGAGTGGCAGGTACGTTCTGCCCCATGACATGTAGCTGGAAGACCCACAGCTGAGGTCTACAGAGTTGTATCTTGGTCTTCTGAAGCAGCAAGAATCTAGCAATTTCAAATTGCCTTAATTTTAGCTCCCCTAATAGTTGAGGCTTTTGTTTCTCACACATCCCTGAAACCAGAGGTATTCTGCAGAATTAGCGTGTTTTCTAAGAAGCTACCACACCTTTGTCTGTGAGCATTGTGTACACAGAGGGTTGGAAAAGTAGGCTTCTACCCTTTCCTTTCTGGGTAGGAGACCAACCTGAAATAGTTTCTCTTGCCACTGCCCTTGAGTAGCACTGAAGCACTGCGAAAGTCTGTGTCGAGTTCCCTACGGCATTCCACATGTCAACTGCCAGACACTGATTGCTTTTGTACAAATGAACTTCCTTGTATGCATCAACCTAGCAGGAGGAAGCAACAGAAGAAGCAGACAAAATGAGAAAGGCGGCCAAGCTTGAGAAGCAGGCAGAGGATGCAGTTGGAGGCGAGCCAATAAGAAAGAGGCATTTTAGAGGAAAAAAGAAGGTGCATTTTGAGCAAAGATGTTGAGAGAGAGATTTTGCTCTGTATTGGGAATAAATGGAGTTTCACTCCACCCACTGTAGAGAGCAGATAAAGAAGTCCTCTTTGAAAATATCAGTAAATGTTACGACTTTAAGATCCAGTACAGTGTAGTTGCAATGAAGAATACAGATTAGAAAAAAAGGATTTGCATTAAACTCAGTCTAATTTAAGCTATAGAGTCCCTCAAGGTTCTCAAGAAAATTTAGGTTATTAATTATTTGGAATAGGACTATAGCAAACTGTAGGTGAGGGGATACGTCTTGTTGTGATTGTGGTATCAGAAATGTATTGTAATAATAGTCAAATTGCTGTTTGGGATAGATGTGCAACTAATATTTCTTTCAACCAAATGGAGAAAAAACTCAATGAACATTTCTCGACTTTGTGAGAGAAAACCATTTCAGAGAAAGTACGTAATAATAATTTGTTTTCGGTTCATCTGCATGTTGAACAGAAATACTGTTTTATGGTGCAGAATATTACCAATCAGATTCTGAATTACTGTACTTACATCAAAAGGAGAGACAAGCTGAGATACAAAGTGAAGTTTTCACTTCATTGTCATGACGTCAAGAGGAGTGAAGAACTTAATTGACCAAAAAGCAAAAGGCTGATTATTTTAATTTCTCAGTATGAGTCTTTCAAGAGAATTTTATTTTAAATTTTCCTCAAGTTGTCATGTCACTTTCCTCCTGCTTCTTTTTCCTTCTTGACAATGTTTTGCTTTATTTGGTGGTCAATTTGTTTCCTGTGCTGGGTATAGCTTGAGGATCTTATTACATCTGGAGCATCAGGAGTCTTTCTGCCCCAGAATGCATATGTTTCAAATTAGGCTAATAAGCACAGTCCACCGGGAAACCCTTGTCCCGTCTAGAGTTCTTGTGGTGCTCCAATCTATTTTAGCAAAGCTTGTCCAGAAGCCTCAGGTGGCTATGGCTTGTTGAATGGCAGATGTTGGTTCCTCAGAATCCCCACCCCCACTTAAAAAAATACCTATTGAGATATCTGTTGCTAAATAGAGAATAAATCTGGGTGGGTAAAACAAAGAACAGTAAATGCAGTGTGCATTTCATGCTTTGGAAGGGCAACCATGTAGTTTCCATAGTTTTAACTTCCCCCTTCACCTGTAGTTCTAGATTTACTGCGAGTCCTTGATCTGTGTTCCCTGAAAAGTGTCCCAAATCTTTCTCCTTTTTGTTATAAAAGAATGGGAGTACTCCATTCCATAGGTTCTAATAGTCCTGCTGAGCTGAACAGAAAAAAATCTGCAGACATTTTTGCTTGTAGAATATGGGTGTTTAGAACATTGTTTGGATAATCTTTCAGACATGATTATTGGTCATTAAATGAGGTGTTCGTTTTATTCCTAGGTGTGCATTTGTTTGAGCACAAGGAACACAACCGATATCTTGTTAATCTTTGTATCAGAGCTTTGCACAGTTTAAAATTATTGACATATATGAAATATAAGTAAAATTAAAAGCACATTAAAATGTTAATATAATGAGATTAATTTTGACCATAAGCGGGCTACTTCAATAGTAGCTACTTCAGTCTTGGCCATTCGCTAGATCTTCTTTTGTACATGTGGCGGGGCATGCAATGATTGAATTTCTCCACAGTCACAGAAAATTTGTCCCATGGTCAAGTAGCCCCTTTTTATGTGATTGTTCAAATGTTACACCCTGTGAATGAGCATCAGTTTGCCACCACTTATTGTAGTTTCCCCTAATTCAAGCATGAATTGCCAATAGGATTCTGGCAAGTGGCAGAGAGAAAACTATACACAAGTCTCCCCAGTTTGTCTTCTGGTTGGGGAAACTTAGCATGACTTCATCACTAAAAGTGGTGGCACGTTCCGTTTGCCATCCATTTGCTTGCTAGCAAGAGGCAGATTGCATGGTTGCTATAATTTCATTTTGAAACCGTGCCTTTCAGATTTTTTTAAAAAAACATGTTAATGTATCAGTGGGTTCATTATAGAGTTTTCAGGTACAAAATATTTAGAGGTGGTTTACCATTGGCTGCTTTCTGTGCAGTACTAACAAAAGGTAGCTTGATTGTCACTGCTGTTTTCTATGAAGAATACTCTGTCCTCCAGAAGCTGCTCCACCCCCTTCACCATAGGAACGATCCATTCACTTCTGCTGATGTGTCCATTAACCTTGAAGGGGGTTGCATCCGTCCTAATCTGCTGGGAATGATGGTGCTGGGAGTCCAGACTTGTAATAAGGTCCGCTCTCCTGATGGCATTTCTGTCATTCCACTGATGTACTCATTCCACTTCACCACATTAAGGTATGCCTCCAAGAGTGGGTTTTCTTTTCTTACTAAGAAGAATTGAAAGGAGCAGGACCAAATATGAGATAGATTTATTGACTCAATAAAAGAAGCTGTGCTCTTACGTCTGCAAGAGTTGAGGAGAGTTGTTAATGACAAGACATTTTGGAAGCCATTCATTCATAAGGTTGCCATAAAATGGAGGTGACTTCCCAGCACATACCAAAAACCATGCATCAGGGAATGGTTGTCCAGGTTGCCATAAGATGGAGGTGACTTCCCAGCACATATCAAAAACCATGCATCAGGGAATGGTTGTCCTTCCGCCAGTATGGAGGGAGCAGGGCTGTCGTATACATATTGACGTGGCCTCCTTGGTGGAAAGATAAGATGTAAATGATTTATAATAATCATGATCATAATTATAATGATAACCATAATAATCTTAGAACTGCAGAGCTGGAAGGGACCCTATGGATCATTAAGACCGGCCTGTGTCAAAGAGGAACAGTGGGGAATCGTAATTCCCAACCTATGGCTTCGCAGCCAGATACGTAAACCACAGAGTTATCCAGCAGTTTTTAAAAAGCCTGTCATATTAAGCATTAACACACAAAGTATTTTAGCTATATAAAAGCTGCATTGGATAGCAACCAGCAGATTTGTTCAGCTGAACTAGGCTGAGTCAGAACGTGAATGAGTAACTACATGTAACTGTGAATAGGAAGTATAGAACCAATGAAAGCAACTTGCTATTTCAGTTGTCTCCTTCTAGAATGCACTCTGCCCTTCTCTCCCAGCCTTTATTTTTGGACCTTACTTGTATCAGCAAGGTGTATATGGGAGCATCTTCAACAGAGATATGGCATATGAATGGGTGAGCGCATAACTTACCCAGGTTAAGAAGCATTGCCTTTCCTAACCCCAGCTGTGAGTATTTAGTTAATTGTTTCTTTTTAACTACTGTAACTGGGATAAGCTTCCAGTAGTTTTCCTGTTGGAAACTGAATTTAGTTGGATACAATTAGCAGCATTTAGTTATGTGTGTATAATAATCAAACTTGAGAAGACAAGTGTAGCCACACAGGTTCTTGTTAAATGCAGTTGGTAATTTTAGATTTGTGTGGAAAAGATGTTTAAGCATCTCGGGCACTCCTAATTTATTTAATTTTTTAGTAGCTGCACTACTTGGATGTGCACATTTAGAAGTGAATCTTCACCCAAATTAATGCAGGTGCTTCCCCAAAAATATCAGGGGTATTTGAGTGTTTTCTTACCCTATTCTGCAGGCTTAAAGTGGGTTATATCATGGTCTTAACTCTAGAGATGGGGGTATTCGTGTTCAAACACGAATAGCCCTGCACAGGTAGTGATAATGAGGATCCGGCTCCCTGGGGCCAGACCATCCACTCACAGTTCCTCTGCTGCCAACAGCTCCGCAATCCTTCGTATCACTCCGGAGCTTGTGATCGGCGAGCCACTCTTCAACCTGGCAGGGAGTGCTGTCCGACCTCCTGCCAGGAGTGGTGAGCCGATCATGAGCTCCGGAGTGATATGAAGGATTGTGGAGCAATTGGCAGCAGCAGAACTGTGGGTGGACGGTCTGGCCCCAGGGGGCCGGACCCTTGTTATCCCACCTGTGCGGGGTATTTGTATTCATATGATCACCTATTGTGGTTCCTGCTTAAACAGGGGTTGGAACCGCATTGTTGCATGAGGAGTGATTTTGGCTGCTTGACTGAAGCTGAATGGATTGGAGTATATTGTAAAGCATCTATTTCTGAAACACAGCAGCCAAATTGCTTACTGAGGGTGGTTATAGTTATCACATAACTCTCCTGTTACAGCTGCTTCACTGGCTGCCAATCCGTTTCCAGGCAGAATTCAAAGTAATGATTCTGATCTGTTAAGTCCCTAAATGGCTTAAGCCCAAGCTGTTTCAAGGACCCCATCTCCCTTTATGAGACTGTCCAGCTGTTAAAATCATCAGGAGAGGCCTTTCCGTCCCACTACCTTCACAGGTGTGTTTGCTGGGTATATAGGAGGAGGCCTTCTCTGTGGCTGCTCCCAGGCTCTGGAAACCCCCCCCCCCACAGGGGGTTAGGCTAGCCTCATCTTTATTGTCCTTCTGCAAGCAAGTGGAGACCTTTTTCTTTGGGTAAGCCTTATCTGAGTGCCTGGCTGCCTAAGTGGAGTTTTTAAATTGTTGTACCTTACTCCTTTGCATGCAATTAGGTGTTGCTTATCTTTTTTGAGTATGGTATTTATTTAATTTTTTTAGTATTTATATACTCACGGTTATCTTTTAAAGATGTAAGCTGCCTTGGGTCCTTTGAGGGAGAAAGGCAGGGTAAAAATATTTTAAATAAATTAATAAATAAGTGTGTCTATGTGCTGCAGTTTGGGATAGATAAGTAAATAATTTTGTTAACATGATGTAATCTTCTGGCTATATTTTTCCCTTTTTCTTTTGGCTTACCCTTCCTGTCAAGCTAGGTTTGCATTTTTAAATAGGGGTCCTTGTAGGGGTTGGGATGGAATCTTGTTTTAGTATAATAATAGTTTTACAAGAGTACAACCCTGAGTGCTCACTGGAAGGACAGATCCTGAAGCTGAGGCTCCAGTACTTTGGCCATCTAATGAGAAGAAAAGACTCCCTGGAAAAGACCCTGATGTTGGGAAAGTGTGATGGCAAGAGGAGAAGGGGACGACCGAGGATGAGATGGCTGGACAGTGTCTGCGAAGCAACCAACATGAACCTGACACAACTCCGGGAGGCAGTAGAAGACAGGAGGGCCTGGCGTGCTCTGGTCCATGGGGTCACGAAGAGTCGGACACGACTAAACGACTAAACACACACACACACACACTTATTTTGTATAAAATAGTTTCTCCTGTGTTAGCTTTTCCGTGTACTCCTAGTCTTTGCATATTTACACATTAGCAGAGTGTTTGGTGTTCTTTTCTGGGGTTTTCTCCTCCCCATTTGCCTTGTATGTGTGCCACACTAATTCTGTCTGACAGACACAATTGGGAATAGTAAGGAGGAAATAGCTGGTTTGGACCAATCGGCTCTGCTCAGGAAGTCTCAGTGCCATAGGAAGGGAGAGAAACTCACCTTTCATTTCCTCTGGAGTCCGGCACATTCAGATTAACTTTAAAGGAGAGCGTGATGCAGCTTGGAGGATTTGGTCTCCAGTAGAGTCTTGCCTCGGCATGGAGCATCTCAGCAGGCGTCGAGTCCCTGGCCAAAAAAAGTTAAGCTTTTAGTTAAGCTGCTGGGTATCCTATTGCAAATTAAATACGAAACAAAGAATTGCTTGGTTTTGTATGAGAAAGTTGAAAGCCTTCATTAAAGGGGCTTTTCTTTCTATGTTATGTACCTTAACTCCAGAGCACCAGTTTAGGGTACTTGGTGGGTTTTTGGAGGCAAAGGAAGGTCTTTGTCAAGTGATAGAATTTGCAGGAGCAGTTGTGCATATTCTTAAAGTGAAAAATCACTGTTTCTCATGTTTAAAGCATGATGGAGAGAGGAAAAAAAGGATTTCAAAAAATAGTGTGGACCTTTGAGAGGCTTGCTGGTTATGTTCAAACCATTCAAAATATTAAAACAGTGTTTGGTGAAGGAGAACATAGTTAAGTTTTAGTACTAATACAATGACTGGGATCCTATTGATTTTTATACAGTATAAGGTTTGCATAACATAGTTAATTGCAACTAACAGGTGAGGTGCTGAGGTGCAACTCACTTGTGCAGTCAGGCATGTGTCCAAGATGCACCCTGTTTCTTCATGAGTTAGTTGTGACCTATTACAGAGACACCAGTAGGATTCTTGCCTATGTACATCTTTAGAGAAAAGCGGTGTGCACTTCCATTCTAGTTGGAGTAAAAAAGGAAACACCTTGCAAAATTCTTATGAAATGCTGCAGCAAAAACAGACTCAGTCCAGAGCACACATATCAAAGAGTAATTTCCACTGAACACAGTAGGACTTACATATGAGTAAATATGCATCAGATTGCTCTGTTAATCAAGACTCAAGCAGCAATTCGTAATAATAGCATACAATATTTACAATGCTGTAGGGTATTCTAATGGCTTCATAGATGTTCCCTGAGTAATTTGTATATGAGTTGTATCCTGTGGAGTAGGGAAGGTAGAAGACACAGGAGCTGAAATCCTGTTGCGCAGTTCTGTGTGCTTGTGATTATCAGCAGCAGGGGCAAATTTCTTCTCTTTAAAGGCTTCCTTTGGAGATTTTATGGTGTATGCAACTTCATTGCATTGTGCAGATGTTGCTCATACTCCAAAATCATCTTTAATGAATAGCAATGAAGATATCATCTTAGCTTTGCACATGGAGCTGTGCAATAGGATTTCAGCAGGAGACTGAATGACAGGAGCTTTTCTTAACTCCATCCATTGAAGCTTCCTGCCTTGCATTCCTCACCACCCTAGCTCCCATAAATTATTGTTCTGGTCCATCTAAAGAACAGGCAGTATGAAAAGTAGTGGGCAGCTCTTCATAACACATAAAATATTTCTTTATTGATTCAGACTGAAGTCCATTTGTTTGAAACAGCAGTCAGTCAGTTTAGATGTAGCTCATTGCTCGGTCTTTCCCTCCTGTTTGTTCTCAGCATGTGGTGTAAATTGAAGTGTTTTTTTTTAAGTGGAAGAGTGTAAGGAGCCATGATGTATTGCTCCATGAGCTCCATGTGCTTGTCTAATGTACTGTGGCGATAAGCAGGGTTGGAATTCCAAAAAAATCCAGTTTCAAGGTGAGGGAAAGCTATACAGTATATGCAGTTCACCAATATAAGCAACACAGTTTTAAGATTGCAGGGCATCCTTTTTCATATTTTCAGGGTACTGTCAGGCCTCTTCAAGGTTTTGGCTTAGAGGTTATAAAGTGGAACATGTTGTTTTTTTGGGTATCCCCTTCTAAGATGTGATTATTTGCATTCAATTTCCAGTTTAGTACAGTGTGACTCACTTTGCAACTTGGTAGTCAGTCCAGGTCTCAATCTTACTTCTCACACTTGGTTTGGCATTTCAGAGGAGGAAGGCTATATTTGTACATATAATAATGTTTTTGGCAGTGAAAGTATTAAATACTAAGGTTGTAATTTGCATGTATATATGTGTTGTACATAATTCTTCACCTTCCCTGCTTGCTGTCCTCAGACCTTGGCAAACAGCATCTTTATGAACTAAGGCTTCCCTTAACCATGTCAAGATCCCCTTAAAAGCAGCAAGTTATCACTTAAAGCCATGATTCCCAACCTTGGGTCCCCAGTTGTTCTTGGACTACAACTTCCAGAAATCCTGGCCAATCCAGTTAGTGGTGAAGGCTTCTGGGAGTTTTAGCTCCAAGAACATTTGGGGTCCTAAGTTTGAGAACCATTGCCTTAGCACAGTGTTTCGATTATGACATCACCTAGTTGTCTGTTTGGTAACAGATGTACTTTTAGTTGGAAAAGTGGAGGAATTCACCTGAAAAACTATATTTAACCTCTCTGTAGATGTACTATAATGTACAGAGAAATTAGGCCGGTTTCGTGGTGGCATCTCCCTTACATGGATAGGACCTAGAGAGAGAATTTTAATTTCAGAATTTAAATAAACACGGTATATATTTAAACCTATTCTCAGTAT